GTGAAACACCTCAGGAGCCGTTGAGTTCCAAAAGCACCATTGCCAGATGCTGGGAAAAGAGAAAAACAAGCCAATATATGGGAGCAGCTGGAAAACTTCCTAAATAAGTCAGGAACGTGCTGGAATGTGCAGAGCTCCTTCTTTCCCTCTCTGGTCCTGCTCAAATGAAATCAAATAAGTCCTGGCTCAGTGGTTCCTGTTGCTGTTTCTTTCTTAACATTCCCCAAAGGATCCTTTTTCCATGAAAACCTCAAAGTGGGTAAACTGCTGGGGAATGTGGGAGCATCCAAGCATCCTTTGCCGTGTCTTTTCTTCCAGCACAGATGTAACCTGGGAGCAGAGGTATTTTTATATTAAAGCATTTTTTATTAATTCCCCACCTCGCTCTCTTCTCCAGTGTCTCCCCTGGGTCTATAGTGCTGGCTGTCTCCATGGTATCCGAGCTGCTTCCCTATAAATCCATATCCTGGCATGAACTTCCCGGGGTCTGGCATTTATCACCTCTTTAATTGAATGGGCATTTATGAGGATGGGAAGAGGGAAGGGAAGCAAAAAACTCCTGGAGTGATGGAATGCGCCCCACAACTCTTGGCTCGGGATGATCCCTGCTCCTGAGCAGGGGCCAGGATGGAATCTCCATCCTTGCAGAGGTGCTGGCCATCAGTGTAGAGGTGATGGTCACCAGTGTAGAGGTGTTGGCCATTGACTTAGAGGTGATTGCCATGAGTGAAGAGGTGATGACTGTCACTGTAGAGGTGGTGGCCATCAAGGTAGAGACAGTGACCATCAGTGTAGAGGTGATGGTCACCAGGATAAAGGTGGTGGCCATCAAGGTAGAGGTCATGGCTGTGGGAACCCAGCACATCCCTCTGGCTGTCCAGGATGGCCAGGACCCCTGCCAGGGGGCTCAGAAGCCCTGGCACAGAGCCCAAAACACCTGTGGGTTTGATTGTGACCCATGGAGCAAATCACCAACCTTAGATGAAGATCAGCAAGCCACAACAGTTTAGGTAGAATATTAGTGAAGTTATCACGGGGTGGAAAAGTAGATTTTAGGGCTTTGGTATGGGGGTTCAGGAGGCAATGGAGGGAACTGGGTGTGTCCAGCCTTTCTCCTTCTTGGCCTCCACCTTCTGCTGTGATGTTGGCACTTTTGGATTGGTTCAGAGTAGAAGCTCACTGTCTAACACAGGTGATGGGTATTGGAAAGGAATTGTAAACATTGTACAGGTAGTTTTTAGTACAAAGACATAACCCTGCCCTGGGGGCAGGCAGAGTGCCTGGAACTGTCCTGCTGGACGGACCTCAGCAGGGCAGGAGAAAATTTTTTATAGATAAGAAACAATGAACAACCTTGAGCCCGAGAAATGAAGAGCCCTGACTCCTTCAAGCACTGGGCTGGGAAAAGAGACTTTCAAACTTTTCTTGGGGTCACTCTGACCAGCTAGAGATCCCAACAATGGCCACCAATGTAGAGGTGTTGGCCACCAGTGTAGAGACAATGACCGTAAGTACAGAGATGGTGGCCATCAATGTAAATGTGATGGCCATCAGTGTAGAGGTGACTGTCACCAGTATAGAGGTGGTGGCCATCAAAGCAGAGGTGGTGGCCACCAATGTAGGAGTAATGGCCATCGATGTAGAGACAATGACCACTGATGCAGAGGTGTTGGCCACCAGTGGAGGGACCTTGACCATCAGTATAGAGGTGGTGGCTGTCAATGGTGATGACCATCAGTACAAAGGTGATGGCCATCAGTGTAGACTTGATGGCCATCAGTGTAGAGGTTATTACCACCAGTTGGCCACCAGTGTAGGAGTAATGGCCATCAATGTAGAGACAATGACCGCCAATGTAGAGGTGCTGGCCCCCAGTGCAGAGCTGATGACCATCAATATTGCGGAGAGGGGTAAAAAACCCCAAGGGATGGAAGAGGGATGAGGCTGTTTTCCCATGGAACAGCACAAACACCCAGAGGCAGCGCTCCAGCTCTTCCTCCCTCATCCCAAATTGTTCCTCTGCGAGCCGCCTTGGCTTTGCTCCCGCTGCTGATGTCTCCAGCCCACGTTGGGAATGCAGAGTGTTTATAAAGCAATTTGGGATTTGGCTTGCTTGGCTGAACACTTCAAAAACTCATTTTGAATTGAGAGTGACATCTGCAGCAGGATGAGGCTGGGCCTGTCCTGATGCTGGGAAAGGCACAGGGATGTGGATGTGGATGTGCCATGGGATGAGGTGCACTCCTGAGGACTCCCAGAAGGATCTCTGCGTCTCTGTCCCAGCCACCCCTCAGCTCTGGATGGTGTTTGGTCACCTCGTGGCACCGGGGCACGTGTCATCAACCCACTCTGCCGCCAGGTGGGATGGAGAAGTTTGGGAGAAGAAGACGAGAATTCCTTATGAGTTTTCACTTCAGTGCTGAATAACCCAGGATCCATCTGAAGATGCAAATTATCTGCCTTGTTTTTGGTGTCGAGCGTAGGCATTTTGTGGCCTTGTCATCCACAGCCGTGTCCCTCAAAGCCAGGCTCAGCAGGGACCTCTCCAAGTGGAAAGGCACAAGACTCCGAGCGTGCCCCGGGCGCCGCTTTTTGTCCTGCCCGAATGGGGAGCGATTGAGGAACGAGGAGAAGCGGAATTGTGGAGCTGTGCCATGAAAAGGTTCTGCAGGTGGTGGCTGAATGGGCTCAGGTGCTGCATAAAAGGTATCAACCAGGCTTTATCTCCACGTTGGCAGCTCCTTATCCAGCAAGAAACATCGGATGTGCCGGTGGCTCGGTGAATTCATTTGGATTTATTCATCCAGGGGAGGGGAGAAGCACCTGGGCTGCTTTGATGGCTCTGCCAGGGTCTGAGGAGCAGAGGTGACAGGGACACGTCCTGGTGCCACCACCCCAGGTCTGGCTGTCCTCCCGCAGTGGCTCTATCCACTGGGGAGGATTTGGAAATCCTGTAAATGAAGTGGAAAGATGGGAATCTCACCAGCAAAGGGCTGCAAGCTCCGCTCTTGGGGTTATCTCAGCAGTTCAGATAAGCAGAAATGGGAGGATTTTTCTCTAAACAACCCTTTCCCAGGAAAACAGCTGATCTTAACTCTCTTTAGGGCTGGAATCCAGCCCTGTTCCAGTGCTAATCCACTCATTGCATTCCCAGTGTCAATTTGTCACTAATTCAGATCACAGGCAACTGGCTGCATAAAGGTTTTCTCTGGGAGAAAACGTGTTTTCCAGAGGTTGGGAAGGGCTGGGGGAACTCCTGTGTGTGCAGGCAGGTCATGGAGGTGGCAAAAGGCTATTGTGTGGCAGAGGGTAAAGCTTGGTGGGTTTATGTAGCAAATTAGTGTAGGAAAACACAGGTGGTGGAAGGACAATTCATATCTGTCATTATTCTGCACGCTTTGATTCATTCCGGTTACAGAAACCCGAGGATTTTATCACTGATTTCCAAGTGCCTGGATCCTAATCTCCAGCAAATTCTTATTTGACTGCAGTCCAAGTGCTGCAGGAGATGGGAAGATGGTTCAGAGGGAGTGCAGCTGCCTCGGGGATAAATCCAGCTGGGATGCTCAGGGAGATGCTGGGACACCTGAGCAAGGAAAGCCATCCCTGAGGAGGCACTCGCTGCCCTAAATCCCCACTGCAGCTCACTTGTGCCCAGCAGGACAATTCCTAATGCTCCCAGTGAGGAAATATTTGGAAGGGTGCTGTTGTCTTTCCAAAACCCAGGGGATGTGGGGATTGCTCCCATTCCTGTTTCACTGCTTGTGCTGAAAATTCTGCTCTCTGCCCGTGGAGTGATGTGGAGCAGGAGGATCCTTTGTATCCGTGAGCTTCTGGAGCTTGGGGTTCTTCTGGGTTTCATGGACTCATGGAATGGTTTGGGTGGGAAGGGACATTAAAGCTCATCCCATTCCACCCTCTGCCATGGGCAGGGACATTTTCTTTATCCCAGGTTGCTCCAAGCCCCATCCAAGGTGTCCCTGCCCATGGCAGAGGGTTGGAATTATACGGCCCCTCAAGTCCCTTCCAACCCAAACCATCCTGTGATTCTCTTTTATTATTCTGTGACTGTTTTCACCCAAAAAGGACAAAACCTCTCCCAGGGGTTGAATCCAAACCAGTGCATGCTGGAATTCCCAGGGCAGGAGGAACTGGGAGAGGAGAAAGCAGTGGAGCTGAGCTGGGGGAAAGCAGTGGAATGAAACACTAGAACTTTAAATTTGTTAACCAGAACAGAATCAAATCAACATCTGCAGCCACCAAACCTCTTTAACAAGCTGTGTGCTGGGTGTTTTATTTCCCAGGCACAGGTATCCAGTCTCATCCTTCCAAAGTTGCCTGGAATGAGCGTGGGTGGATAGAGAAAAGCAAAAAAAAAAGCTCTTTTTTGTGGGCGGGAGTCGAGGCAGCAGCCACCCACGTCCTCCATTATGATATTCAAATGTCAATATATTTTTAATTGGTTTATATCCATTCCCCCCCCCCAATCCAGCTGCCTTTGGTAATTAAGGCTCTGTAAATAGATTTTACTGTAATTGGTACGAGAAGGAAAATTGGAGGACATTGTACAGTGCATGGGGTTGGGTTGGGGGATTTTTTTCCCCCTCCCTGTCTTTCCTCTTTTGACTCATTTTACATCTGTGAGCTTTGGATCCCGAGGGAGGAGGAGGAGGAGGGGGGAGCCACGGCCAGTTCTGCACAAAAACTCGGAGGTGGGAGGACCAGGTGGTTTGCTCTGGGTTGGGACACAAGAAAAAGCCAGGGGCCAGCCCAGGTTGTCCCTTGTGGCACCACGGTGGTGCCACCAGGTCACACCAGGAGCACTGAGAGCTCCCTCCCAGTGCCAAACTGGGAGAGCCCCCAGTTCCCTGCGGAATCCTCAACCTGCCTCGGGCCAGGGGGCCAAAATCTGGCCCAAATCCTGTGATTATTTATTTATTTATTTATGATTTGGGGCTGTTTCTCCAGGAGGGTTTGTAACTTCTCTTTCCCTTTTCCAGCCTGTGTAAAGGACGGACTCTCTACTCCGTGGTGAGGGACGCCAAAATTGTCCTGGATGTCAACAAGACGAGGCAGATAGCACAAGAAATTGTGAAGGTATGGTCTGGTGGGGTCTGGATCCTGCAGAAAACCCAGCCAAGAGCCCAGTCCAGTCATTGTGGGGAGCAGGAAGAGGAGCAGCCAAGGATTCTGAGCAAGATAGAACTCCTTGGTTTTAAAATCCAAGGATTCTGGGCAGGTTAGAACACCTTGGTTTTAAAATCCAAGGATTCTGGGCAGGTTAGAACTCCTTGGTTTTAAAATCCAGTGATTCTGGACAGGTTAGAACTCCTTAGCTTTAAAATCCAGTGATTCTGGGCAGGTTAGAACTCCTTGGCTTTAAAATCCAGGGATTCTGGGCAGGTTAGAACTCCTTGTTTTTAAAATCCAGGTGTCTTTGACCTCTCTCATGTGGCTGAATTGGGGTGGCACCAAAGCTTCCATGGGCTCCCCGTGCTTGGGGCTCATCCTGGCCCACTGCTCCTCTTCCCTGCTGGAATTTCAGGTGTTTAAATCCAGCATTGCTTCTGTGGGAGAGTTCCTGGTGGGATATTCCTCTCCTCTTGGAAAAAAAAAGGAATAATCATGGAATGGTTTGTGTTGGAAGGGAACCTAAAACTCATTACATTCCACCTTCCACCATCCCAGGGCTGCTCCAAGCCCTGTCCAGCCTGGCCTTGGACACTTCCAGCATTCCCAGAATTCCCATAAAACATTCCCAGGGCTGAGGCTCCTGGAGAAATCCATGCCATGGTGCCACAAGGCCAAGCTCACATGCATTTTCCAGAGCTAAAAACGCTTTTCCTTTCCCAGGGATGACCCCAAGTGCATCTTCCACACCTCAGACGTGTCCCTGCAAACAATCCCGGGCAGGATCCTCCCATGGCAGGGTGGAGTGGCTGGGAATTTGGGTCCTGAGCCCTCACAGCTTCCCATGGGATGTCAGCAGCAGCACTGAGGTGTTGAGCTGTCTGCCAGAACGGGGCTGTGCTGTGATTCCAAACAGATTTATCACCAGGAATATTTGGCACGTGCTCTGCCATGGGAGCTGTGACAGTGCCCCCGTGCCCTGCTCAAGGTCAGCCAACATTTCACCCCTGGAGCCCAAACCTGGAGCTGATCCCACTTTAACTGAGGGGAAACAACAGAAAATCAGATTTTCTGGCAGACCTTAGCCCCTCTTAAATGCTCAAACCCAGGTTAAAAGCAGAATGTGTTCAGCAATATTTCCTGGGTGATGCCTTTTCCTTGGATGGTCCTTAATAAATTGTTTATTTTGTGTTTATTTAGACCCAGTTTTAACTTTAAATTTAAAATTCCTTCAATCCTCTTGGACTCTCCAGGTGAGCACAGCCTGAACCTTTATCTACCTCAGAGCCACGGCCTGAGCTGGGGGTGCCTGAGGCAGCCCAGAGCCTCTCCCTCCTTAATTCCTACTTCTGATCCATGTTTTCCACCTTTTAGACACAGATTTTTTCCTGCTGAGCAAACATTTGAAGCATCACAGTCTAGCCTTGTATTTTTTTCCCCCTTTTTGTGCTCAGGGCTTTTGCCTTCCAGATGTTCCCAGCAGGAATAAGAGCTCTGTTCAGCCCCTTTCCCTGCGTGGGTTCACTGCTCCGTGTGGGTTTCGAGGATGAGGCTGAGACATCCTTGTTTTCTGCAGCTGCTGCCTGTTGGGAACAGGTTGGAAACCTCCAAGTCTGTGATGTTGAGAGGCAGAGAGGCTTTGTACCCACCCCAGATCCCTGGAGGAATTAACAGAGCTCTCCAAAGGCTCTCCCTGGGCACCAAAGGGAATTCCTGGAGAAGCCCAGCCCTGCCCCAATGCCGTGACCCAACCTCATGGCCCATTCCTGCTGAGAAGCAGCAGCTCCCCAGCCTTCCCACCTCTACCCACCAATCTCCAGCAGGTGTTTTGGGGCACTTGGAAGTGGTGGGTGCCAGGGAGGGAAATCCCAACACCTTGGTTGGGGTGGGATTGGAGCTGCATTTTCCGGAGGCTTAGGATTTTCTGCACAGTCACAGCAGCTGTTTGATTTTATCCTTGGAGTCCTGGAATGTGACGGGAGAGCTGCTCAGCTCCTTGGATCAGTGGGTGCAAGGTTATCCCGAGATCCTCGGGAGGGGGAGGAAGATCGATCCCGGGAGGGGAGGAAGATTCCTCCCGGGAGCGGTGGTGCCGGCAGAGGGAGCTGGCTTTTCACACAGCCCAGCAAATGAGGGCATTCCTGGCCCCAGAGTGCTTCCTCAGGGATCATCCCAGGGGCTGGAATTTGCAGTGGGATCTGCACGGAGCGAGGTGAGGGATGGGGGTTTGCCCAGAGAAATTCCTGCAGCAAAGGCCGGGCTGTGTTTGATGATTCCATGAAGATGAGCTCCATGGATGTGGGAGCAGGTGGGAGCACGGTCCTGGTGCTGCTCTGGGGTCCCATCACCCTCAAACAATGGGAAGGGGCTGCAGAGCATTCCCGTGGCACTGGGGCTCCTCCATGGATGCTCAGGGCCCTGCACTGCACCTGGCCAGGGAAACATTGGAATGCTGCTCCTTGCTCCACCCTGGCACTTTCTGGAGGTGACAGTGACATTTGAAAGCTGATTTTTAAACCTCATCATTATTTCATGTGCTGGGAACTGGAGACCCCTAATTAATCCCGGTGCCTGGAATGGTCCTGGCATCCAGCCCCAAATCCTTTCCTTCCTCCAGCATCCCTTGGCAGAAGCTCTGTAGGATTTTCTCCCCACGGGGGGCAGTGAAACTCCCATATCTTGCTGGGTTGGGGTGTTTTTCTGTTTGTTTTCCCACTTTTTCCAGATGGTGGAATTTGGATTGGGCTTCTGGCTCCACATCAGCCACCAGCTTAAAAATAAATTCTTCTCACACAGCCTGTGTGGTTAATGATGATAGATGAAAAGATGAGACTCAGGATGGATGGATCCCCATGGAATTCCAGTTAATAAATCCCCTTTTTTTCCAGTGCCAGACAACCAATATTCCCTCTTAAGCAACAGTTTGCCGGCCTGTTGGGCATTGATTCTTCAGCAGCATCCTGCAGATCAAGTTTTCCCCGAGTCTGCTTAGGAGAGTGAAAAGTGGGACAGCATGAAAATCCCTGCTGAAGTTGGGATAAATGTGCTTTATCCCCCTCCCCGTTCCCAGAACGATCCTGTGGAGCTGAACATCCGCCACGCGGAGCTGCCGGCAGTCTGCTTGATTTGCCGAGGCTAAACAGGAGAGTTTGGATTTCCCACCCATGGCCTTTTTGTGCCTCATTAGCACTAATTTTAATTAACCACCGAGCAGTTTTTCCTGGGGGGGAAGGAATTAAGGCAGGACTCCTGCGAGGCGCCCGTTTCCAGGCGGATGGGGCCGTCGGAAGCGCCGGTGGGGCTGTGGGGAGCGGTGAATTATTACCCTCCTCTGCCAGCCCCCAAAAAAACAGAGGCAGAAACATCATCACCATCCATTTCCCAGCAGAGGGTTCCAGGGAAGCGGCTGCCGGGTGGGTTTGCCGCTCATTTTTCCTGTGGAATCAATTAATCAGGACGATGAGCGGGCGCTGTGGCAGCTGGGACACCCACTCCACAATCCCATCTCCCTCCAGGAGCCCACCCCTTCCAGGCACTTTCCCTTCCTGCAGGGTCCTTTGGGGACGTGGTCCAGCCTGGATGTGCCGTGGTGGCTCATGGATCCCATGGGAATGCTGCCACTCTGGTGTTATCCTGCCCATTTGTGCTGCCTTTGTAACCTTGGGGCGTTTTCCTCTCTCTGTTCCATCCCAGGGAATGGGATACCTGCATGCCAAGGGCATCCTCCACAAGGACCTCAAGTCCAAGAATGTCTTCTACGATAATGGGAAGGTGGTGATCACCGACTTTGGGCTCTTCAGCATCTCCGGGGTTCTGCAGGCAGGCAGGTAGGAGGGCATGGACACACTGGGGCTCCTCCCCGTGCCCTAAAGCTGGGAATGATCCCAAAAAATCCCCCTCCAAGTGCTTCTCTGTGTCCCCAGCCTCAGCAGACAGGAGCTCAAGAGGCCTTTGAGTGTCGTGGGGCTGCTCTGTTTGAAGGGAGATGGTTTTGATCCGTAGGAAGGAACATGATGCCGTGTGTGAGCCTCTGGAATTTTGGTTCAGAGAGGCAGATTGTGCCCCTTGCACCAACCTCTTCCCATGGGATGCGTCATTTCCATGGCCAAACCACCCTGCAGCCAGCCAGGAGATGTTCCTGTGGCAACAGGGCTGGTTCATTCCTTGGCCTTTCCCTTTCCATCGTTATAAATCCCTGGCATCTGCTTCATCCCCTGCCTGGATTGAGTGATGCCATCCCTGTGCTGTCCCCACTCCAGTGACATTTTGGGAATCACAGACATCTGGCCATGGTGTCTGTGCTGGGCATGGAGCAGGACATGGACAATGAGAGCCAAGCTTGGGATTTTCACAACATTGTGACATTTTGGGGTCTCGGAGGGTTTAAATCTGAAGGTTTTGGTAAATGCTCCTTATTAAATTTCTTGTCCTGGTGCTTTGGGAGATTTTCCAGCTGTAGGAATGGCAGGAAAAAGAGTTCCAGCAGCTGTGGAAAGGAGGAAAAGCAAAGCTGGGGTGGAAAAAGGAAACAGAAGTGGGGAAGGAAGAACAGAGGTGATATTTCCTATTTTTTGTTAAGTGGGGAATAAGAACATTGCTGACTTTTCCCATCTTTCCCACTAAATCCTTTGTGTTGGATTTCCCTCTAAACCCTTTGTGTTGGGAGCAGAACACACCAAGCTTGGGCAGTTTTCTCCTGGTCCTTCCATCTCCACGGCAAAGATGATCAAGAGATAAAAAGCACTTTGGAAATGATGGATTTTTCCCTAATTTCCCTGTGATGATTTCAAAGGATTAAAGGGAACGGCAGTGACCGCCTCTCTCCATCCCACACTCCCAGATTTTCCACTCTGCCTGGATAAATATCAATGGATTTCAGCACAAACTTGGCCAAAAACTTTGGAAAGCCAGGAAATCAGGATCTCCTGATCCAAAGTGGGATTTGCCTCTGGTTTGGCAGCTGGGCGGGGGACTTGGGATTCAGGGCCTGCCAGGAGGAAGGGGCAGCTCATTCCAGCAGGGAATGAGGATTTGGGCAAAACCGGCCAAGCTTTGGCAGGAATCTTTGCTGTGAAGGTCAGGGATGCTTCAGAGATGGAATGAGAAATGGGGGAATGGGGTTTCTGAGGAGGTGGCCAATGTGTGGCCACCTCTGCCCAAGATTGGGATGTCCCTTGTGAGGTTAGAATCCAGGAGGTGGCCAGGAAAGCAAGGCTGGATAGAAATGAGCAGAGTTTTGCTGGGAAAATGGAGAAAATGAGAAAAATTTGTGCCCTGGGCTGCTGGTAGCAGATGTTTTCTGCTGGAGGAGAGCTGAGAGGAGAGCAGGGATCCACAGCCACCATGAATTTTGGAACAGGAAGTGTCTGCAGGTCTGATCTCCCCTTTTCAGGGTGGGTTTTTGCTGGTTTTGGTGTTTCTCAGATGAAGACAAGAGATAAATCCCAGTGTTGGGTTCTTAGTGGCTTGGAGAAACATCTCTTGGGAAGGAAGGAAATTTTTGGAGGTCAGGTTAAGGATGGTGACATTTCTTCAGCTGGTTTTGCTGGGGTTAAAGCACTTCCTGCAGAGATTTGGTGACTTGGGGTTTCATCCTGCTGAAACCAGATTTATTCCTCCTTTATTTAAATGTCCTTGGGCTCAGTGGGGACAAGGAGGAGATGGAGAGGAGCCATGGATGCTCCAGAGGGGACAAGGAGGTGTCATCAGTGATTCCCTGGAGTGGCAGTGTCCCTCCCTAGGGAAGGGAGTCCCTCTGGTCACAGCCAGACCTGTCACTGGTAATGAGGACAGCTTTGCAGGCAGGAGGACCTGGATTGTGCCATTTTGGGATTATGGGCCAGGCTTTGAGGTGGAACCCCATCCCTGGATGGTTTCCTATGGGATTTTGGCCCCAGGCTGACATTCAGGAGGACAGATGACCCCACAGCCATCCCTTAGCCCTGTTCATCCCCATCTTTGGGAGGGTTCCAAGCACAAACAGGGAGAAATTCCTGGCAGGAGCCAGCCCAAGGTGATGTGGGACAGGTTTGTTCCCTCCTGCTGCTGAACCTAGGTTCAGACACATGATGGAGCTGCCTCAGGTGTCACCACCCCTGGTGATCCAGGGATTTTGAAGCCAGCAGTGTATCCCAGGTGCCTGCTGGAGGATGTGAAGGATGGAGAAGTCACCAATGCCATCCTCAGCTGTTGGCCAAAGGGTTTCCAATGGATTTATCCCAAGCAGATGGAGCCTGGGGAGGTGGAGGAAGGACAAATGAGGTGAAATGAGGGGTTGTTATAAAGCCAGGCTGCTCCCATGGGAGATGCCATTGGAGGTTTGGACTTTGAGGGGCTGTTTTGGGGCCAAAGACCCAAACCCACCAATTCCCACGCTGTTACTTTAGGATGGGTTTGCTCAGAAGAGTCACTTTGTGGTGCCCAGTCCAAATTCCTGCTCCAACCACAGTGGGGTCCCTGGGGGAATTCATCCCCACTTTACCCCTGGATACTTTAAGGGGTTTTGGTGCAAAGGGCACAGCAGGAGCCCCAGCAGACCCTAAATCCCCATCACCAGCCTGGGAGAGCCAAAGTTCCCCTTAAGCACCATCCTGTGCCCCAGTTTTGTCCTGCTGCCTGGCAGGGACATTTCTCAGAGCAGGGTTAAAACCTGACTTTGCAAGGATGATGTGGGAAAACCAGGCTTAAAAACCTTGGGAAGAGGTGGGAAGCTGGGGATGTGGTGGTGCTCTGCCCTGGGGTTCCCACAGCTCTGGCTCCATGTCCTGACAGGAACCACCATCCAATTTTGTCCTGCTGCCTGGGCAGGGACATTCCTAGCAGGGTTAAAACCTGACTTTGCAAGGATGATGTGGGAAAACCAGGCTTAAAAACCTAGGGAAGAGGATGGGAAGCTGGGGATGTGGTGGTGCTGTGCTCCAGGGTATCCACAGCTCTGGCTCCATGTCCCAGCAGGAACCACCATCCTGTGCCCCAATTTTGTCCTGCTGCCTGGGCAGGGACATTTCTCAGAGCAGGGTTAAAACCTGACTCTGAAAGGATGGTGTGGGAAAAACCAGGCTTAAAAACCTTGGGAAGAGGATGGGAAGCTGGGCTTGCTGGGGATGTGGGGATGCTTTCCCCAGGATACCCATGGCTCCAGCTCCGTGTCCCAGCAGGAACCACCATCCAATTTTGTCCTGCTGCCTGGGCAGGGACATTTCTCAGAGCAGGGATAAAACCTGACTTTGATGTGGCTAAAACCAGGTTTAAATCCCTGAGAGGAGGGTGGGCAGCTGGCGGTGCTGTGCCCGCTGTACCCACGGCTCCGTGTCCCACAGGAGGGAGAACAAGCTGCGCATCCAGAACGGCTGGCTGTGCCACCTGGCCCCCGAGATCATCCGGCAGCTCTCGCCCGACACCGAGGAGGACAAGCTGCCCTTCTCCAAGCACTCAGATGTCTTTGCACTGGGGTGAGTCCTGGGACACGGATCTGGCCTGGTTGGGTCAGATGGGAGCTGCTCTGGACTCAGGAGGGGATGAGGACGCTCTTGGTTTGTCCCAAATCCAAGGGGACGCTGCTGGATGGAATTCCCATGGCTGGGCTGGATGAACCTTCCTGCTTCGAGAAATTCTGAGTGAAACCATCCCTAAATCACCAAATCCCCCTGTTTTAGATCAGGCTGGCTCTGGGTAATGGGATCCAGAGTAACCTGAGGATGCCAGCCTGGGGTGGGAACACAGATCTGGGAGTTGCTGGAGAGCCCAGTTCTCCCCAAATTACCAAATCCTCCTGTTTTGCACCGGGGTGGTGCTTGGCAATGGGATCCAGAGTATCCTGGGAATGCCAGCCTGGCATCATCTCTCCCCTGCACCCTCCTGGGGCAGGTGCCATTGAGAAGGTGCTTGGATGATGGATGGGGATGCCAAAGGTTGGGGACACAGCTCTGGAGCCCCTGGACACCCCAATTCTCTCCAAATTACCAAATTTTCCTATTCTGGCCATGAATCAGGGTGGCTCCAGGCAATGGGATCCAGAACATCCTGGGAATGCCAGCCTGGCATCATCTCTCCCCTTCACCCTCCTGGGGCAGGTGCCATTGAGAAGGTGCTTGGATGATGGATGGGGATGCCAAAGGTTGGGGACACAGCTCTGGAGCCCCTGGATGCCCCAACGTCCCCCTCCAGCCACTGCAGAGAGCTGATGGTGGTGCCAGCTCTATGAGCAGTTACCAAAAGCCAAGAAAATAAGAATTCCTAAGTTTTCCTCAGCAAACCAGCTCATTCCTCCCGCCCTTTTTCTGCCCACAAACCTCCCTGAGGGCACGAGCCCAATTCCACCCCGCTAAACCTTTCCCAAAACCTTTCCTCTTTACCCAGAGGATTAATTTTCTCATGGATACCTCGAAGGCTGTGGGATTAGGGAGCGTGGGCCCGTTATCCGAGGCAATATTCCCATCAAACCCGCAGTAATTACAGCTGGAAGGGTCTGGCTCTTTTATTTTGTGCCCTCCCTGAGGTACAACTTCAGCACAGAAATAAAGAGGTAATTAAAGGATCGTATCCAACTAAGTGAGAGTGGGTGGGGAGACGTAATTTTCCCTTTTTTCCCTCAGTTGTGAGCTCTGCCCTTATGGAAAGCGTGAGTTTCCTGAAAAGATGAAAAGGTTTCCCCACGTTTTCCCTCTTTCTTGTTTCTGCTGCCCTCCATCGAGCCTGGGAGGCTCAGGGCTGATCCTGAGGGGTTGCTTCCTTCCAGGGATTTGGGGATCAGGGAGAGCAAGAGGAAAAGATCTTTTAAAGATGACAAAAACTCCCAGTGAGAAACTGGAATTAATGCCTTGGATGTGTTGAATGCAATCTGAGGGTGCTTGGATGCTCCTCCTGAGGATTTTGTCCTGTGGCCAAGCCCCCCATTCCTCTGCACCCACATCATTCTCCCATTATTCAACTTTTTTTTTTTTTTTTTTTTAGATTTCCAGCCAAATTATGCAAAATCAGAAGAATCCCAATTCCCAAAATCAGGGAGCTTCCCTAACTGGGAGGAATCTTTCGTTTATCAGACAGATTTTTTTCCACCCTGCTGTCATTTTAACCCTGGGTTTTGATCCTTTCAGTGGTCACGAGGGCATCCCTGGGAGGGAAAAGCAGGTCCAGGGAATGTGCCTTGGACAGTGGGGCTGGCATTGTGGGAATCCAGGCTCATCCAGGCTCTGGGTGCCAGAAAATGATGATGCAAAACTTGCAGGCAGCAGCGGGGGCGGAAAACCACAGGGGTGCCCACCGGTGATGCCCTTGTTTTGGGATATTCCCTTGGATTTGGGATTCCTCACAGAAAAGAGGGCTTGGCTTAGCAAGGAGAGCAGGAGCAGATGGCCGGGGCTTCACGTGGCCATCACCTGGGGAGGACACCTGAGATGGGTCATGGCACGGGTTTTTGGAGCTTGGAGAGATTTTTGGAGGAGAAAAAGGGAAAAGCTGGAGTGAAAGTGAATTCTTGGGCTCGTCCCTTCCCGGAATTCTGCTGGAGTGGCAGCTGCATCCCCACCATCCCCTCTTCAGCTGCTCCATGGGCAGTGCTCTTGCATCCAGGTGGGACAATCCCACTTGATGGCTCTGCCTGGGCCTCCATCAGCCTCTGTCCTACTTCCCATGGGCTGGGATCTCCCCTGGTGGGAATCAGGGCTTGCTCCAGGAAAATGGGAGAGGTGACACCTCTGTATCAAGGAGCACCTCTGGGATGAAGCATCTCCTGGATGGTTCTGGAGCAGGGAGAGAGGTTGGATGTGGCTGCAGTGTCTGGACACCTCCCCATTGTCCCAGACATCTTTTATGGAAAATCTTTTCTTTAAGATTTTTTCTTCTTGAGAAGCTGAGAAGCCTCAAGGACAAAATGTAACCAATGGTTATCTGCTGCTGTGGAATGCAACAAGTAGATCTTTGATTGGCCCATGTTGGTTGTTTTTAATTAATGGCCAATCACAGCCCAGCTGGCTCGGACTTTCTGTCCAAGACCCAAGCCTTTGTTATCATTCTTTCTTTTTCTATTCTTAGCCAGCCTTCTGATGAAACTTTTTCTTCCATTCTTTTAGTATAGTTTTAATATAATATATATAATAAAATAATAAATCAAGCCTTCTGAAACATGGAGTCAGATCCTCGTCTCTTCCCTCATCCTAAGACCCCTGTGAACACGGTCACACCCCATCCTGAATCCCTGCTGGCTGCTCCATCTCTGATTCCCAGTGTCTCCCAACAGCACCATCTGGTACGAGCTGCACGCCCGGGAATGGCCCTTCAAGACGCAGCCAGCGGAGGCAATAATCTGGCAGGTGGGAAGAGGGATGAAGCCCAACCTCAGCCAGATCGGGATGGGCAAGGAGATCTCGGTAGGTGCTGTGGGGCCCTGTGGGGGTGTACATGGACTGGGACATGGCTGGTGGGGCCCTTGGGAAACCCTCTGGATCTGCTGATCTCACCCAGCCAGGCTTGGTCCTGCTGCTGAGCTCAGCTTGAGCGCTCCCTTTGCTCCAGCCTTTCCCAAGGTTGTAGGGATGGAGATGGGTGCTTGTGGGGTGGACACCCCCCCTTCATCCCAGCCTTTCGTGAGGATGTGGGGATGCAAATGGGAGCTTCATGGGTTGGGCCCATTCCCTCCATCCCAGCCTTCCCTAAGAACGCAGTGATGGAGATGGGTCCATCCCAATCCTTAAGAACCCAGTAATGGAGACAGATCCTCATGGGATGGATATGTACCTTCCATCCCAGCCCTTCCCAAGGAATCTGGTGGTGGAAATGGGTCCTCATGGGATGGAGACATCCCTTCCATCCCAGTCCTTCATGAGAATTCAGTGATGGAAATGACTCCTCATGGGATGGAAACATGTCCTCATCTCAACCCTTCCCAAGGATCCAGTGATGGAAATGACTCCTCATGGGCTGGGCACATCCCCTGCATCCCAGCCTTTCCCAAAAATCCAGTGGTGAAGATGGGTCCTCATGGGATGGACACATCCTCCCCATCCCAATCCTTAACAAGAACCCAGTAATGGAGACAGATCCTCATGGGATGGGCTCATCTCCTCCATCCCCTCCATCCCAACCCTTCATGAGAATCCAGTGATGGAAATGGGATCCTCATGGGATGGAAACGTCCCCTCCATCCCAGTCCTTCCCAAGGATGTGGTGATGGAGATGGCTCCTGATGGGCTGGGCACATCCCCTGCATCCCAGCCTTTCCCAAAAATCCAGTGGTGGTGATGGGTCCTTATGGGATGGACACATCCCTTTCATCCCAATCCTTAACAAGAATCCTGTGATGGAGACAGATCCTCATGGGATGGACTCATCTTCTCCATCCCAGCCCTTCATGGGACTTCAGTGATAGAAATGGGATCTTCATGGGATGGATATGTTCCCTCTATCCCAGCCCTTGCCAAGGATGTGGTGATGGAGATGGGCTCTTCGTGCTATGGAGACATCCCTTCCATCCCAATCCTTAACAAGAAACCAGTGGTAGAGATGGCTCCTCATAGGATGAATATGTTCCCTCCATCTCAGCCCTTCCCAGGAATCTGGTGATGGAAATGGGATCCTCATGGGCTGGGCACATTCTCTCCATCCCAGCCCTTCCCAGGAATCTGGTGATGGAAATGGGATCCTCATGGGATGGACATGTCTCCTCCATCCCAATCCTCAACAAGAACCCAGTAATGGAGACAGATCCTCATGGGATGGACTCATCTCCTCCATCCCAGCCCTTCCCTGGAATCTGGTGATGGAAATGGGATCCTCATGGGATGGAAACGTCCCTTCCATCCCAGTCCTTCCTGAGAATCCAGAAATGGAAATGGCTCCTCATGGGGTGGATATGTCTCCTCCATCCTCCTCCCTTTCTAAGAATCTAGTGATGGAAATGACTCCTCATGGGATGGAAACATTCCCTCCATCCCAGCCCTTCCCAAGGATGTGGTGATAGGGATGGGTCCTCATGGGATGGACACATCCCTTCCATCCCAATCCTTAACAAGAAACCAGTGGTGGAGATGGATCCTCATGGGATGGACTCATCTCCTCCACCACAGCCCTTCCCAAGGATGTGGTGATGGAGATGGGTCCTCATGGGATGAATACGTTCCCTCCACCCCAGCCCTTCCCAAGGATCCAGTGATGGAAATGGCTCCTCATGGGATGGACTCATCTCCTCCATCCCAGTCCTTAACAAGAACCCAGTAATGGAGACAGATCCTCATGGGATGGACACGTCCCCTCCATCCCAGCCCTTCCCAAGGATGTGCTGATGGAGACGGGCTCCTTCGGGGCGAGGGCTGTGGTGGGAGAGGGCCTGGCTCAATTCCCGCTGGGAGAGGGCCTGGCTGGGTTTCCTGATGCTCTCTCCCCGTGGCTCCAGGACATCCTGCTGTTCTGCTGGGCCTACGAGCAGGAGGAGAGGCCCACCTTCACCAAGCTCATGGACATGCTGGAGAAACTGCCAAAGCGCAACCGCCGCCTTTCCCACCCGGGGCACTTCTGGAAGTCGGCAGAGTAAGTCCCCATCCCTGCCTTATTCCCAGATTCCATGGATTGGGGGAATGCCTTGCCCAGGGACCCTTCCCAGACCCTCAGCCATGGCAGCTTCCAGCCTGATCCCTTCTTCTCCCATGGCCAAATCCTGCTCTGTTCCATTGCTTTGGCTTAGTCACATCCCTGTGCTGCAGGAAACGGCATCAGAGGGTCCCCAGTTGGGATTTTGGAATCTGCCCTGTTGGGAACAGCAGGCAAAATGCAGAGCAATCACTTAGAAACTCATTTTCCTCCCCGGAATTTGTCATGTTGTGACAAACAGAACCAAAATCTCACCCGTGCGGGGGTGGCATTCACGGGGGGGATTTTTCCTGCTCCCAGCGTGCATCCCCGGAGGCTGGAAATGGGAATGGGTGGAGGGGACGAGATGTCAGCTCAGGGAGAGAACTGAGGACATTTTGGGGGCTTCAGGGACCGATCTTTGTCCTCACAGAGGGTGGGAGATGCTGGTTTCTCCCGCTGCTGATAACAAACTGCCTTTTTTCCTTATCTGGGCGTCTCCAAGAGTGTCTGGAATGTCCCCAGTGCCACTCCCTGTCCCTTGGGGCTGCCGGGAGCAGCGCAAAGCCCGCGGCCAGGTGGCCCCCAAGGCACCCGGAACGGGAGATGTTAATCAGGAGCGGAGTTAATTCCCAAGCCACGCTCCAAGCAGGCACCGGGGCGGCTCCGGCAGCCGGGCAGGGGATGCTGGAGGATGCCGGGCCCCGAGGCAGCTGCGGAATCGCTCCGCTGGCTTTGGGAATGTTTTTTCCAGTCACTGAGCCACGCTCTGCCCGCCCCGGGCTGGGGCTGCCCCGCAGCTCTCTGTTAATTACCGTCCCAATCTTTTGCTAATCAGGATGTTCCAGCTCGGTTTTCCACGGCAGCTGATTCCTTCCACAGGGACTCGGCTCTGGCTGTTGTTCCTGTTAGGTCCTGGAAGGTTCCTGTTGGGTCCTGTTAGGTCCAGGATCCCCGGCTTGCACAGGGATGAGGTGGCCGTGGTCCCCCGGGCTCTGCCATCCCTGCATCCAAGGGATTGGGGCACAAACCCCGCGGGATCCTGGATGCACAGGGATGGGAGTGGTACCCAAGGAGCCCTTTCCCCTCTGGATGATGCTCCAGGAGCTGGGCAGGGATGGCAGGGAGGTACAGGATGAGAGGAATAGCAGATTTGTCTTTCCAAACAAGCTGTGGCTCTGCTGGTAGATAAAACCAGCACTGGAAGAGAAAAGAAACCATGAGAGGGATTCCACTGATTGACGAATGGAAAAAGAGATTTGCTTTTACAAATAAACTTTAGGTTTGCTGATAAATGAAATTAGACACTGAGAGATGAAAGAAACAATGGGGAAGAAAAACCCCTAAATTCCATAAGGATTAAAAATTAAAGGGGAGGGTTATACCTTAGAGGGAAATCTTTGGTATCAGGTGTTTTGGGAAGTCTGAACCTCTCAAGTACCTCAGCCAATGTGGAAAAAGAGAAAATGTGGCCAGGAAATTGGGATATAAAGGAGGCTGCATCCTCCAAAAATTGGAGAGACCCCAAGGGGATGCCCCAAGGCCTCTCCCTTTATTGGAATAAAGCCAGAAAGGACTGCTCTGTCTCCTTTTTGGACATCAGCCTCTGGTGTTTGTGGGTTAATTTTCCTAACAAGGGCTTCCCCCGGTGCCGCTGCTTTTGTGATCAGCTCCATGGCAAAGCTCTTCCAGGAGGGTTTTTCCCAAAGATCTTCCCTGCAAACCCCCACGTTCCCCAGGGCTGACTCTGCTCCTTGTGTCCCCTCCAGGCTGTGACGGGAGGAGTTGTGGGACGGTGCCTTCCTCCCCCAGCGGGTCTCTTCTTCCTCTCCGCTTCCCACCCTGCGCTACGGAGCGAGCCGGGACCGGGAGCGGGATCTTCCCCCGCGGCCTTTCTGCATCCCGGGAATCCTCTGGGAGCCGGAGCAGCCCCGGTGCGGTGGGATGGGGACAGCGGGCGGCTCTCCGTGCACAGGCTCTGGGGACAGAACCCCCCGAGCAGCGGTGACCCACAGGACAATGACTTCAGTTTATCCCCAGGGCTCCTCTGATCCCCATCCAGCGCTCACGCCGATGCTGGGCTGGGGAGGGCTCGTTCTCTGTTCTCTGCGGGTTTCTTTAATTCCCTTTATTTATTTCTTTGCGGTTTTGTCATGAAAAAAGGGGGAATGTCGCTGATTCATGAGTTTGTGCCCGGATCCTGCGGGGCCAGGGAGTGCCGCTGCCATTAGCTGCCCCCCGCGGGGAAATGCATCTGTCCCGCTGCCCCCGCAGCCCCCGCAGCCCCTCCGTGGGCAGCGCTGACCTTTCACAAGTGGCTTCTCTGCCACTTACGTGTCCCCCCGCGGGTCTCCCTGCCAGCGGGACACGGCTCCGCATTCCCGGTGATTTATCCCGTTAATTCATCAGCCGGCCCTGCCCCCTCGCTCTCCATCCCTGCCCCGCTCCTGCCTCTGCTCCTCGCTCCCCAAATCCCGGGTTTGGGGCTGCTCTGGTGTGACCGAGCTCACAGGGGTTTTCAGATTGGTGAAGAGATGAGGATCTGACTCCCTGTTTCAGAAAGCTTGATTGATTATTTTATGATATATATTACATTAAAACTATACTGAAAGAATGGAAGAAAAGGTTTCATCAGAAGGCTGGCTAAGAATAGAATAGAAAAGAATGATAACAAAAGCTTCTGTCTCCGACAGGGAGTCCAAGCCAGCTCCCTGTGATTGGCCATTAATTAGAAACAACCACATGAGACCAATCCCAGATGCACCTGTTGCATTCCACAGCAGCAGATAACCATTGGTTACATTTTGTTCCTGAGGCCTCTCAGCTTCTCAGGAGGAAAAATCCTAAGGAAAGGATTTTCCATAAAAGATGGCTGTGACACTCTGGGGCTGGGCATCAGCTGGAATTGGGATCCATCCCCTCTCCTGTGGTTCATTCCTGCAGCTGGGAATGCAGGCAGGCTCTGGTTGTACAGAGCAGCTCCCAGCCCCACTCTAGGACATCTCAGCCATGCCCAAGACCATTTTCCTCATCTCCCATCAGCCAAATCCCAGAGTTTCCCCAAAAATTCTCTCTGGGAGCTGCTGTTGCCACCTGAATTCCACATGCTGGTGTTTCCCTCTCCCCCCCCCCAGCTCGGATGGGCCCTCCAGCCCCTCAGATGAGCTGTCAGATGAGAGCAAATTGCATTCCCAGGCTCTCATGGAGCATAATTGCTTGACAGGAACCATCCCAGATAATTCAATTGTAGTCTCAGTTCGCTTTAATTTGGAGCCGTGACGAGGCTTTGCAAACCCAGCCAGCCCTGGTTTGTCTGGCTGCTGCTCCAGCTCCTCCTCACTGGTGCTGGGAGTGCTTTAGCATAAGTAAATGAACATTAGAAACTTAATTGCAGCTGGGATGAGATGGGATTTTAATTGTGGGGGTATTAAAATCCCCACGCGTGCACGTGTGAAAATCCAGGGTGGGCAGGAGCAGGGAGGGGTGGATCCAGCCCCAAAAGGATCTGGAGGAGTCTCCTGCTGATGTTTTTGGGATGGGAGGCAGTGCAGGGAGCTGGGATGGGGCAGGATGGATTTAGGACTGAGCCCTGGTTTGGGTTAATTGTTCCCTGCTCCAGCAGCAAATCAGGGGTGCCTGAGTTAGGGCTGATCCCAGCTTCTCATCCCAGCTCTTCCCTGCCTTTCACCCCAGCCCAGCCCGCAGCATCCATGGCCTGTGCTGTCCCTGTTCCTGTCCCCCCAGGTGTCCCTGCTCCCCTCCCAAATGTTCCTGCTCCCTCCAGGTGTCCCTGCTCCCCCCAGGTGTCCCTGTGTCCCCCTGGTGTCCCTGCTCCCCTCCCAGGTGTCCCTCTGCACACATGTGCCACCAACCTTGCACTAAAACCTCGGGGTCTCTCTGAGCTCTCACCAATGCCTTCACCTCTGCTGCTCCTGTCCTCTGGGGGAGGCACAAAATCCCCTCCCCAGAGGTTTTGGGTGCTGGGGGGGGGCACGGGGAGGTGTCACCAATCCCCAAACCCCACCCAGAGGGAGCAGGGTCCTGCTGGCTCTGTGGGTTTGGGTTCTGAGCAGGTGTGGATTCCAGGGGAGCAGGAGACAGGGGAAGGTGTTGGAAGGAGGAGGAAGGGGACCCCGGTGGGGTGCTCATCACGGGGGTGATGGATGTGGTGTGGATCTGTGGTGGAAGGGATGAGGTCTCTCTTGGGGTCATTGGGGTTTGCTCCCCGTGTCCCAAGTCCTGGCCTGGGAGGTCTCACCCTGGTGTCCCCCGAGGGGTCTCACAGCTGCTGGCAGATTCCTGATGGATTTTATGGCCAGGAGTGGAGGGAACAATGAACTGAGGGGTGCTGGGTGTTGGGTGGGCTCCCCTGTGGTGTCAGGGCCTCACTGGGCTGCAGCCTCAGCCACAGAACCATGGGATGGGTTGGGTGGGAAGGGCCTCAAAGCTCATCCAGTGCCACCCCTGCCATGGCAGGGACACCTCCCACTGTCCCAGGTGCTCCAAACCCCATCCAGCCTGGCCTTGGGCACTGCCAGGGATCCAGGGGCAGCCCCAGCTGCTCTGGGAATTCCATCCCAGCCCCTCTCCACCCTCCCAGGGAACAATCCCTTCCCAATATCCCATTTAACTCTGCCTTCTTTCACTTTCAAGCCATTCCCCTTGTCCTGTCTCACTCCCCCTTGGCCACACTCTTCTCCACTGAATTTTGGGCATCAGGAAGAAACTAAATATTAGGAAGAAACTGAATATTCCTACAGCCAACCTCTCCCTGCTCTCCAGCCTCTTCCTCCCCTCTCCCCTCGCTGTGGTGTCTCAGCCACAGGCACAGCACAATGGCATCAATTGTCCTGAATTTATCCCAAAGGAGCTCCAAGGAGCAGCTCCTTCCCTTCCATTCCAGTTCTTCAGGCTGCCACATTATTCCCATCATTCCCTCTTATTTTTTGAAGTCTTCATTATTTA